GGTGCTGGCATTGATAGAGTTTTTAAATTGCAAAAAAGGGCAGCCCGGATTATTTTAGATGTAGCTTATGATGCCCCTTCACTACCATTATTTGAAAAAATTGGATGGCTGACCATTTATGAGTTAATTGATTTTCATAGATATGTATTACTGTACAAAACACTTCATGGTATGGCACCAACATATTTAAGAGACTCTTTTGAATTCATTTCCTCTAATAGTTATGTTCTACGATCTGAAACAAACTTTGACCTTCATCTACCAAAATATCGAACAAATCAATTTAAAAATTCTTTTCATTATTCCGGTGTTCATTTATGGAACAAATCACTTTTGCATATTCGTTTCTCACCAACTGTACAAACTTTTCGTAAAAATGTAGAAAAAATTCATTATAACATGTAGAAACTAAAAGTTATATAATTTCATGTTCTTGAATCAATCTTTTAATGTACATGTTTTTTCACGTCATGATGTATTATTTATTATAATATTGTACGATGTTTTTATAATTGTATTATTGTGAATATGTTTAGAGGGCCCCGAGGAAGACTTGTGCATTGCACTAATCGGGTTACCCTCTTTAAAAAAAGTATTATTGAGGTCTTCCGTCTCCAACGGAAGACCTTCTTGTTATTCTTCGGTTTCTTTTTCCCTATTATTATTTTTTTCCAACCGATTTTTGTGCACGCGATTTCTCAGAAACGGCTCGGTCGATTTACATGAAATTTTTATATGTAATAGATCATCAAACGATCTTGATAAGTTTTTAAGCGTTTTTACGACATCACTTCCGGTCGTGAGATATGGACAATTTTCTATTTTCAAAATGCAATTGTCTTGATTTAGTAGCGAAAACTGCTCAAGATATGAACTGAAAATTAATTGGAGATGATAGATCATGATTTATAGCGTTGCAGAATCGCCTTTTCGTTCGTCGTCAGTACTTCCGGTCGATAGCGGAAGCGAATTTAAAAAACGCAATTTTTCAACTTTTCTTTTTTAATATTTTTGTAATTGATTTGAATAGAGAGCTTTTTTCTCAAGCCAAATATGTAATTTGTTTGAAAATCGATAAAGCCAATCTCGAGATATTTGCATTTGAAACGCGAAACGGCGATCCCGATGGCCAAATGGTTAGCGCATTGGATTGGCACGCGGGCGACCCGGGTTCGATCCCCCGTGTGACAAAAAAATTTTATCATTTTTTCCGCTCGGTTTTTCGATATTATTTAATTTTAGACCATTTGGAACTATATATTATAAACTTTTAAGCAAATCTTGCGTAATTAGGGGTCAAAAGGGGCCAGAATGTCAAATCTTTGACGCTTTATACCTCGAAAAGGGGGAATATTTTGATAAGCAATATAGAACAAAAGATGGTCAAAATATTATTCTTAACAATATGCATACTTTGAATTTTTGTAAAACGGCCCCATTAAGGACTTGTAGGTGTGGCCCCTATATATTTCAAATTAGCATATCTCCACAACGAATAGAAATCTCTGAATAAGTGTTGAACAAAAAATCTTCAAAATCACAAGACCTTTCATTTGATATCAAGAAAAAGGGGCTGACCTCTCAAATTAAGGATAAATAAGGGCCAACAATCTTTTATATATAATTTTCTAATGATCAATATTTGGTTATACATTACTGAAGCAAAAGTATTTATCTTAACGATTTGCAACAATATCTGATACAAATTTGATCATATGTTACGTAATTAGGGGTCAAAAGGGGCCAGAATGTCAAATCTTTGACGCTTTATATCTCGAAAATGGGGAATATTTTGAGAAGCAATATTAAACAAAAGATGGCCAGAATAATTTTCTAAACAATATGCATACTTTGCATAATTTTCGTAAAACGGCCCCATTAAGGACTTATAGGAGTGGCCCCAATATATTTTAATTAGGCTTATCTCCACAACGAATAGAAATCTCTGAATAAGTGTTGAACAAACAATCTTCAAAATCACAAGACCTTTCATTTGATATCAGGAAAAAGGGGCTGACCCCTCAAATTAAGGGCTCGGAGGGACCAACAGTCTTTTATCTATAACTCTCTAATGATCAATATTTTGTTATAAATTACTGAAGCAAAAGTATTTATCTTAACGATTTGCAACAATATCTGATACAAATTTGATCATATGTTACGTAATAAGGGGTCACAAGGGGCCAGAATGTCAAATCTTTGATGCTTCATATCTCGAAAAGAGGGAATATTTTGATAAGCAATATTGAACAAAAGATGGCCAAAATAATGTTCTTAACAATATGCATACTTTGAATATTCGTAAAACGGCCCATTAAGACTTGTAGGAGTGGCCCCTAAATATTTCAATTAAGCATATCTCCACAACGAATAGAAATCTCTGAATAAGTGTTGAATAAAAAATCTTCAAAATCACAAGACCTTTCATTTGATATGAAGAAAAAGGGGCTGACCCCTCAAATTAAGGGCTCAGAGAGGTCAGAAGTCTTTTATTTATAACTCTCTAATGATCAATATTCTCCTATTCATTAATGAAGTAAAAATATTTATCTTAACGATTTGCAACAATATCCGATACAATTTTGATCATATGTTACGTAATTAGGGGTCAAAAGGGGCCAGAATGTCAAATCTGTGATGCTTTATATCTCGAAAAGGGGGGTATTTGATAAACAACATTGAACAAAAGATGGCCAAATAATGTTGTTAATAATATGCATACTTTGAAATTTCGTAAAACAGCCCCAATAAGGAGTTGTAAGAGTGGCCCCTAAATATTTCAATTTAGCATATCTCCACAACGAATAGAAATCTCTGAATAAGTGTTGAACAAACAATCTTCAAAATCACAAGACCTTTCATTTGATATGAAGAAAAAGGGGCTGACCCCTCAAATTAAGGGCTCAGAGAGGTCAGAAGTCTTTTATATATAACTCTCTAATGATCAATTTTCTCCTATTCATTAATGAAGCAAAAATATTTATCTTAACGATTTGCAACAATATCCGATACAATTTAGATGGCCAAATAATGTTGTTAATAATATGTATACTTTGAAATTTCGTAAAACAGCCCCATTAAGGAGTTGTAAGAGTGGCCCCTAAATATTTCAATTTAGCATATCTCCACAACAAATAGAAATCTCTGAATAAGTGTTGAACAAACAATCTTCAAAATCACAAGACCTTTCATTTGATATCAGGAAAAAGGGGCTGGCCCCTCAAATTAAGGGCTCGTAGGGACCAGCAGTCTTTTATCTATAACTCTCTTATGATCAATATTTTGTTATACATTACTGAAGCAAAAGTATTTATCTTTACAATTTGCAACAATATATGATACCATTTTGATCACATGTTACGTATTAAGGAGTCACAAGGGGGCAGAATGTCAATTCTTTGACGCTTTATATATATCTCGAAAAGGGGGAATACTTTGATAAGCAATATTAAACAAAAGATTATCAAAATAATGTTCTTAACAATATGCATACTTTGCATAATTCTCGCAAAACAGCCCCATTAAGGACTTATAGGAATGGCCCCCATATATTTTAATTAGGCTTATCTCAACAACAAATAGAAATCTCTGAATAAGTGTTGAACAAACAATCTTCAAAATCACAAGACCTTTCATTTGATATCAGGAAAAAGGGGCTGACCCCTCAAATTAAGGACTTAGAGAGGTCAGGTCTTTCATCTCCAATTCTTTCATAATCAATATTTTTTTTTATAAGTATCCATTATAAGAAGCAAGATATTCATCGTAACGATTTGCAACAATATATTATAAAAGTTTGATCATATGTTACGTTATAAGTAGCTGCAAGGGGCCAAAAATCTTTTTTTTATGCTTTACGTCTCGAAAAGAGGGAGTATTTCTATAAGACATATTGAACAAAAGATGTTCAGAATATCTTGATAACAATGAGAAACTTTAAAATTAATGAAGGAAAACTTAATGTCATTCTCTTTTAACAAATATCTCAGTCAAAATCACATCTCATCTTATCGAGAAATTCAACGGAAGACCTACTCGTTGCTCGCAACGAGATCTCATCTAGTTATTATTATTATTATTATTATTATTATTATTATTAAACCAAACAATCCAAAACAGGTTATCCGGAAATATAGGTCAAAACACATGTTCATGATCAAATAATTTGAAACATTCACGCCATTTTTCTTATCTTTCTATTTCAATAAATAGTTCTGTTTTATTGATCCAAAAGGTAAAACATACGTTATCTTTTTTTTTTTACTAGTAAATCAATATAAAACAACTTGCATACTTTACCCTTAATCACCCATGAAAAAGAAATCTGTCTAAAATCCAGACAAAACAGTAGAAACCAAAGAAAATATCAACTTTTAAACAGTTATACAACTGCATAAGAACTGTTCTATTTAATTCCTTCCTGGTCCCAATATAATGATTGTGGACAGATAGTAATTCATGAATGTTTCGAATTCGACAGTAGAAAAATAATATCCGGATTCAATGTTAGCTTTAATTTTCTCAAATTTTTGTCTATTTGGCCTTTAACACTTTTTTGTGCTTTGATATATTTATTGGAATTTATTATGATAGGTACAAACAATCAATGAAACCTTAATTGATGTTTCAACTAACAATGTAATTTTAGACATACAAATAAATGATTAATTTTTGAAAGAAAAAGGTGTATTACTACTTAAGTAAGGAAGGTTGACGATATCGAAGTTGAAGTCATCACGTTTAAAACAGTTTCAGAGATGGGATCAGGTGGCTAGGACGAGTAAGCATCCCGTGTTGACAAACACTCTGCTTTTACTCTTTTAATGATCTAATTTACGTGACATTCTGTAGTCAGATTCGTTACAAAAACAAAGTACTATCCAATTGGTATGAAACAATTTTTTAAACACCTTTTTTTATTTTTTATTTTTATTGGCTCTTTTTTTTAAATTTCTCCACTCAATTTAATTTTTATTTTTTTAACACTTGCTATTTGAAATTTATACAAGATTATCTCGTCGTTTTATATGTCTGTATATACAGAGTTTGTTTTTGCGGCCTGATCCCACCCAAACGAGATGATTTTGTTGATCATATCCCAGCCCCAAAGGTTCAGCTATCCCATATCCTAATGTTGATATAATAAACAGGAGATGGCCATCCTTGTCGATCACGTGTATTGCGTTGTTAAATCGGCAACAAATCAGAATATTTAAGAGTGCGTCTACACAAATCCCATTTGACATAAAGAATCCAAATGGCATTTCATTTGGTGCTTCGTTGTAAGAGAAACGATATTTCCCTTCACGGTCTGTGACCACCACACCCTTCCCTCTATCAGACACAACAATATCTCCATTGTGATTTTCCGTGATATAGAAAGGTTCACAGTATAATTGCTGGCCTGAGCTGTGATACTGGATGGTTTGTACTGGTTGTACTTCGGCATTAAACCGAATGACTTTCACCTCTAAATTAATGGAAGGATTATCTGAATCATATCTCATCATGACCAGCAAATCTCCAGTAGAAGCTGAGTGACAGATACACCATGGATCCCACAGATCTGTTCTCTGAATCAGCGTCGATTTTGTAGTATTATCTACACTTAGTTTGTTAATGTTCCAGTTTTCGTCGACATAAATTAGTTCTCCTGCCTTGTTAACCGTATGTACTCCATAATTGTGATTAACATCTGACAATTTATATAGAATAGTGCCTTTAGTATTCGTCAAAATAAGACTGCTTCCATCACTGACCCAAATTTTGTCCGATGTCACAAAAGAAATGTGAAAACCTTGAATTAAGTCAGTTACAGCAACATATTTCCTTAACATAGGTATTGGCATCTGCTTTAACATTCGCTTATTTTTTCTCATTTCTCTTATTCCTGCCTCTGTTATTTTGATGTCAACTAAAATATCAGTCATGTCTCCTTTATTGATTTCTTCGAAAAAGCTAAATATTCTGTTATCAGGAAGTTCTATTTTTTGGGGGACGGGAGTTTTCTTTACAAACAACAGAAACTTTATTGGGTTGGTTGCTAGTTGCTCGTATCTGTGCACATATTTCTTCATTTTTTTATGCTTCAATACACATCTCATATAAAAATCTGTTTTATATAAACCTTTAGGTGTCTTACTATGAATATCGATTTGTTTTTTCAGGTTTTCAGCTTTAACAACAAGCTCTTGTTGGATGCCGGAGATTTTAGCTTTCAAGGTATCTACATTTCCTTTGAAGTCAGATTTGAGACCTGCTAAGATTGCACGATTATTTGGGAGACTCTCGCCTCTAATCTGAATAATTCTTTCTTTGTGTTCCTGTCTTTGAACAGTGCAGGCTAATTTGATATCCAGAATTTTATGTCTTTTGTGGTTTTCATTTTTATCACAAAATGCACATTCACAAGATTTGCACCATTTTTGATATTTGCAGTCTGGGTGTTTCTCACAAGACTCTGGCACTATAAAGTCTCCATACTTTAAACGGTAAATAACGACATCATGATCTTTGGTATCGAGTTTTACAACGTGTCTCTGCTTACACGTCATACACAGATTTCGCTTACATGGCCTGCAGTAAAATCTTACGTCATTCTGACACTTCAATTCATTGCACTGAATCACTTTAATCTGTGCTGTGGTGTTCGTATTCATGATGCTACATTTATGTTGTCTCTCTTTTCTTCTAGGTTCAAAATGTAATTTCAGGGTACTGTCTACAATACAATATTTTTAAAAAATTTTTATACAATTACTTTTTTTTACATTTTCATTTTTCTAAGGAAATATGCATTAAAAATATATATATGATAGGTACGAATAGAAAAACATACAGACAAATAACAATTTAATTAATTTAATTAAAATAGAAAATGTCCATCAGTAAAGAATCTGGGGGATTAGGCGAGCCGTTTGCTTACACGGACTTTGTCGCTCTGTAATTTTATAGTTGTACGATTTAAACCCCAGTCACATTTCCAAAAACGAATCAAATACGGGTTTTAAAGCAAAAATTTGGGTGACAGCATCATCGGCCGTTGTCTTGCCCGATTTTGATATTTTTTTGTCGGCCGACCTATACTCGGTCCAAGTTATAATTTTTTCACGTCGGTGGCCATAAAAAATTAATTTATCCGTCGACCAACCTTCGGCCTCGTTCAATCGACCGTCAGTTTATTAAGTCGGTCGTCCGTCGTTGGACAGTAAGAGTGTTGAAAATTTCGGCCGACGGTTAAAATCAAACTGTAGCTCAGAGCTCGATGATCGGCCGACGATTGGCCGACTTGTGAATATTTAACCTAATAAGGATACATATAACACAAACAAAATTTTGATGCATGAATAGATATAAATTTTTTGAACGGAAATAACATAGATCATTAATTCGAAAGATATAAAGTATTCTTTGCTGCTTAGATATGCACCATTTGTCTTTTTATGCAATTCCACACAAATTTTGCACACATTTTCAACATTGAGTCACAATTTAATAAGATTCTGCCACTTTGCCTTGAAAACATTACTCACGTCACCTATCTGAATATAGATCTATGAAAAAATATTGCTGATTTCTAAATAAAAAAGATTTTTATGTGTTATTTATCCAAGTCATCGGTGTCCCTAGGAAGTAATGTGACTGCTCCGTGTCGCCCGATACTGTGACGGCCGATCCTGTTCTTTCAGCCGACAAGACCAGAAAAATTTAGTCGCCCGACCATCGGCTTAAATGTGACCTAGGCATTACTATTAAACATTTAAACTTTATACAGCACTGTCCAAATTGCAATATCTATATTTTTCTTTGAAAAACAACAAAACTTTTAGATAGAATAATAGAAAGCTAATATCGGCCTTTCAATGCTGAAACTTGTTTGAAAAGAATGACCCAAAGATCTATAAAATAAAAAGTTGGTGTGCCATTTCACCTTAATTGTTCTCTTAACTATGTTTTCGGACTGCATACGGAGGGTATATCTCTCAATTCATTCGATACATAAGATCAAGCTCTACGTATGAAAAATAACTAAATGTTTAACAAGCAAGTTGATGAAACAGGAATATCAACAGTCTCGTTTAAAGTCATAATTTCGTAAATTCTATGGTCGATACAATGTCGTTGTCAGCAAATACAATTTATCATTGAGAGAAATTATGACTGACTTTTTTTTCATACTAATTGTTAGTCTATCATTTATACACTGAATTGACGACGGATTATTCCGTTTTTTTCCAGACCATGACAAAGACCACACGGTGGGTGGGACAGTTCAGCAGGGGTGCTCACTCATACATGGCACCTGATCTCACCTCTGATTTTTCGGAGGTTCGTGTTTGGTCTGCTCTTATATAATATTGTTTTATGGACTTTGATATTAAATGCTGTTCGTTATCTCTATATCCTTCTTTTCAGGTATTGGAGGTGGTGCCCTATACCTTTTCTCTAACTGGTTTTGCATACGGAATAGCCATATGGTGCTGGTCTTCCTATGATTGTTTAAATTTCAATCGTGTAATGTAGTCTTCAACTGAATGCATTCAAAATATTATATATCTTGAAAATTTGTTCATTATAGGAAATATATTTAATAAATTGACGGTAAATAAATTCATTATCTTATGCATTTATTTTATTAGTGAAAAACATATTTATTCAAGGTTCTACTTTAAACTCTATGCAGACAATGAAAGTGTATAGCTGTATATATTAACGAAAGCGGACGATTGAGAAGTTCAATTCATCGCTTAAATTTATCATAGAGTTTGGTTGTTAGATTATCATTTTAATGTCTTTTGCATGTAAAATATCCAAATATGAATGAAACTTATGTGTCAGGCTTTGTGTCATCTTTATCTCCCCGAGATATATTGTATCTACTGAAGAATAGCAATAACTAATGTCGAGTAAAATACAGAGCAAGTGTTTCTTTCTTCACGTGTACGATCTTGGACAAATTCTGCTACTTATGAATATAAAAGAAGGTCTGCTAATAACGGGACACAGTGAGTACATTAAGTTTGAAGTTGTGCTTATGCAATTGATTACATACATTTTTTGCACTTAGACAGGAAACATGGAGATTACAAACGGCAAGTATTCAAGATCAATAGTTCATAAAACATTACAAAATAGATATAAATAATTATAAATAAAATAACTACGTTGAATTCGAAAGATCCCATAATGTGAAAATTTCATGTGATGCTTTGAAATTTATCATGTTTTCACTTGTAATATCATTTTTCACAATTCCACATTTAATTTTATATTTACGAGCAATAAATGATAAGACATTATTCAAAACGAAAGAATTTTGGTAAATGCCATACCTACAGCAACATTTCTCATTATTTTTCACAATTCCACATTTCATTTTATATTTACGAGCAATAAATGATAAGACATTATTCAAAACAAAAGTATTTTGGTAAATACCATACCTACAGCAACATTTCTCCACTAATATATACATGTATACCTATGATTTCAGAGACTTTGTTCCAGATTGAATTTTACGTGATTGCAATCAAAAATCAGATAACACATATTCTAATACTTTCATAATGTAAACTTAATCCATATTACTTAAGACAAGTAGAAATGGTATTGTGTATGAATGAAAAATATGAATATTATAATTCATGAAGTTCAGAATAGAAATGCTATAAAGCAGAATCAACTCACCAGTAAGTCAGTCCTTACTGAGTGTTGTCTGCGGACTAAACAAAGTGAATAACAACAGAGCTCATAGATGTTTGGTGTGATTGTATAAGGAATGTCGTTGTCATTGGAGTTTTAGAAAACCCATGAAAGTTCAAACCATTGAACTAAAGTAATGCTTCAATAAAAAGACATTTAACATTGTAGAAAATGCATTTGTGTCCCCAAGGCCCTTTAAAGCTGAAAGTAAATAGACATACGTAACATTAAATCCCTATATCTATCATATTACTGGGATATTCATAATTTAGATATTCTTATGTATATGTATGCAACAAGCTCAAAAAATTTTCTTTAGTTTTCAATTTTATCTTCAATTCTGTGTGTCTCATTGAGTATTTTATCAGATTCATTACTACACCGGATCCCCGATCCCTGAGAGTTGCCAACCTATGAGTGTAGTGTTAAAAATATGATTCTTCATGCCTATATATGTATGTCGTGTGCTTTTACTTTTATATCTTGTGTTTATATTAAGATGTTAATTTTATATGCCCATATGTGAAAGTAAATATGTTTTAATGAAGGACAACAAAGTAATAAAATCAACTTTATGACAATTATGTTATCATGGATAAATAATGGATTTATGATTATTTAATTTGTTCGTCATTCAATTTTAAAAGCAATTTTAATTCTATTGATATATATATATATATATACACATTATTCACATACGTATGTTCCATTTCATAAAATATGATTTGTGTCATCATATGCCATACTCCATGGCATCATGTCTGCACCAGCCATATAAGAAATTTCTCATCTTCGTCAATAATGTGTACGTCATCACACATCAGGATGTTTAATAGTGCGTCTGGAATTGAAAAAAAATTGTAGTCTCTCGAATGGAGGTCCAATGTAAGAGAATCGAAAACCTCCCCGACGGTCAGTTACAACAACGGCGCCATTATCTCCAAAATGTAAGGGTCTTGTATCTGACACAATTATATCTCCATTTCAACTCTCTGTAATATATGCAAGACAATTATAAATTTTGTATTTACGCCTTCTGTATTTGACAGTTTGGGTTTCTTCTCCTTTGCTGGTGTATCGGTTTACTCTGGCTTCCAAGGGAAAGTGTTTAGTTATATCATATTTACCAGAACCTACCAGTAGATATCCATTGAATGGGGAGCTGTAGACACAATGTGGTTTCCATGGATCTGATCTATTTACTAGTGTTAATTCTGTTGTGGTGTCTTGTGATAGTTTGCAGATGTTAACACGTTGATTTATGCAAATGAGTTCATGATCTTTATGTACACCAGTACCAATATTTATGTTAACGAGTTCTTTAATTTTTCTCTGGTCGTTGAATGTATGCATACCAATAGCAATATTTATATAAGTGAGTTTCTTTTCTTTGGTCATTGTATGTACACCAGTACCAATATTTGTAATTGCCAGCTAGTGCAGTTTATCATCAGTTATTTTAAGATTAGGCTATTTTTATCACTAACCCAGATTTTGTTTGGTAATTTATGGGCCTCGGCAAAATGTGAAAAATAAAGAATAAAATACAGCAAAACTTTTCATCTCAAATTATCAATTGATATATAAACCATATGATTCAATAAATTTTACCACTGCAAACCATGAATATACAAAGAGCAAAGCCATACAATGTGGTAGGGGTCAGCCGACATTTGTGATTTTCTATAGTAAATCAAGAAGTGTCATTCATTTCTAAGCGTTTATTTAATATGAGCCTAACGTTGTGCAAACTTGTGCGAATGATAAAAGATGCTTTATATATCTATACAACTTACGTGAAAGTAGGAAGCTTGCACAAGATTAGGCTGGTTCCTAAAATATCCAAAATGTTTCAAAAGATCAATGTGGAATAAATTATTTGAAATACTAATAGCCACGCGAGTTCTACATGTTCTACCCAAGTAAACATTCCTCAAAGATGCTCACTGCATAACCAGGCTTTGTATTATTAAAGTCGTGCCGCTTAGCGATGTTTTTATGTATTTAGTTTTAAAAACACTAGGGGTAAAGAGAGTTAAGTGTTGTTTATAAAATTGTCAACGTTTTTATTGTTCATGCAAAACAATGAGACAGTATTGAAGTTTACCTTAATACTCTTTTTTTAATTCCGCAATTCAAAGACAGTAATATAAATATGATGATCCGTCATCAGATTGTCAAGTATCGATTTCAATGCTCCATCCTCAATTTGAATTAACGAAACACAAAGTGGATTCTGTACGATTTTTCCGGATCTGGGTATATATAGACATCTAAACATATTTAAATCCATGCTGATTTAGGTGAAACTTAACGTGATTTTTTAATCAGAAATATCCATTAGTGTTTTTAACTATTACCAACGGAGAATGATTCGGTAATATATTCTTAGAATAATCGGTCCAGAAAAAGGGCCCATTAAGTATTGCTTAAGTGTTCTTGTCCTTTAACAATTCTGTTGTGACATCTGTCACAATTAAAAAATTTTGAATTTCATATTCAAACAGGAGATATTAATTTCTTAGTAGCTTTTCCCCTGTGTTTGTTATATTTTTCCTATTAAACAAATCACCTCTTCCTTTATTTCATTTATTTTGGACTTAAAAACCCTCTTAGTCATGAAAGGAATCCTACTGGTCTGTTTGTTTTCAAGTTCATATCTCATCATTTTTAATATGTTCTTGTGAGTTTGAAATTTTGATGAGATTAAGTTATTTAAGTAGATTCCTTTTAGTATCTGAGCTTGTCTTGTCATTTTTAACATGATGTGGATGTTTCCTTTCAAAATTTTTTAATTTCTTTTTTCTTGACAAATTTCATATCCGCTACGAACGCTTTATTATGTTTTCGTTTACAAGAAATTCGATATCGTAGATGTCGATAAAAAATCTCGTATATACAAAATTCCCACCATTTTTTGATTGCAGGCATATCAGTGCCTGCTTTATGTTATATTTAATTTTAGGGGGGTCGGATTACATAATATGATGTCAAAGAATTTTGTGTTCTTTCGAAGTTTTTGCTAGTCTTGTCCTTCATGAGATAGGTGCCCTTGAGGTCAAATTTTCATAATTGACTTTTTGGTAAATTTTGATAGCCGAACTCTCTCTGGATGCAAATATATATATATATTTAAAAATATCTCGCTTTTTCAGTATTTTATAAACATTTAGTAAAGCGCATCAAAACAACTTTTACGTTACTCACTGAGAACGTTACATGACATTGACTTTATATTTGTTTAAGCGTCTTTTACTTCAAACAATGCCATTTTTTTTTTTTCAAAATCATTACAATTGTTATTTTCATTTAATCATCAAAAAACAAGCTCATTTGACTTTCTTCGGTCTTACATAAATAACAAAGAAACATAAAAATAAATTATAATTCTAAAATCAATGTAACATATAAATTGTTAAATACGATATTAGATGTGATTGCCAGTACAATTAAGTACCACATTGCAAATGTTTTGATCAGTATTCAAATACATTAATTTACGCTAACAAATTTTCCGCGGAAATTTGTCCACATTGAACTTCTATTTTTATAAGGCATATTTGTTGAACCATGACATTATGTTAGATCCTGTTCTTTAATAGGCTTTTAATAGTAATTCTTCCTGTTAATGTATCTGTATAAAAATATTTCAGCCATACTTGATTCAACCAATAAAAGGTGGTTTGTGTCATCATAGGCAAGACTCCATGGTGTATAGATGTTTGGGAAAGTCAAGAGATGCATCAGAAAATGTCCATCTTTGTCAATCAATTGTACGGTGCCTGAGTTGTGATCAGACACCACGATGTTTGATAGTGCGTCTGTGCAAATCCCACATGGAAAAAATGGTTGGCTATCGAATGGAGGTCCGTTGTAGGAGAACCGAAAGATTCCCTGACGATCTGTTACGACAACAACACCACTATCTTCTTTACGTGAAGATCTTTTATCGGACACAATAACGTCTCCGTTAGTGTTTTCTGTTATATATGCAGGGCAATTATACATTTTCTTTTTACGCCTTTTGTATTGGATAGTTTGTATTTGTAACATTTTGCTATCGTATCGGTTTACTCTGGCCTCCGAAGGAAAGTGTCGGTTTACTTTGGATTCTGTTTGATAGTCTTTCTCATATTTACCAGAACCAACCAATAGATCTCCATTTAAAGTGGAGCTGTAGACACAGAGTGGCCTCCATGGATCTGATTTTATTATTATTGTTGATTCGGTTGTGTTGTCTTGTGAAAGTTTGCAGATTTTATCATTTCTATCTATGTAAATAAGTTCTTTTTCTTTGGTCACTGTATGTACACCAGTTCCAATATCTGTTACTGCCAGCCAATGTTTCGTAAACATGAAGGGAGTTGTGCTTGCCAAGACCAATCTGTTTTTATCACTTGCCCAGATTGTGTTCGGTAATCCAAGGGAAATATGACGAATCCGATCCTCACTGATACCTGTCACCATTATAGATTTGTGAAACTCAATTTCGAGCATAATTTCCAGGAGAAATTCATTTCTTACTTGCCTTTTCCCTATCTCTTTCTGTTGGATATTTCCTATTAAACAACTCAAATCCTCATTAATTCCATTCAATTTAGGAACTTGAAACCTCTTAAGCCATGAAAGGAATCCTACTGGTCTGTTTGATAACTGTCCAAATTTATGTTCATATTTCATTATTTTTTCAATATGTCGTTTTCGATGCTGAAATTTTAATGACATTAATTGCGAATTTAATTTAATACATTCCTTTCGCATTTTTTTATCGATAAAATTCTTGAGTCTCTGACATTTTCTTCTCATCTGCAACATGATTTCGAATGTTTCCCTTTGAATCATTTTAATTTCTGTTTTCTGGTCAGATTTTATATCTGCTAAGATAGCCATATTAAAGGAAGTATCTCACCTCGGAGGTGAATAATCCTGTCATTCTCTGTAGTTCTCTGCACACCATACCAAATGATTCTATATTCTGTGTTTCATGTTGTTGGTGTTCAATACATTTGACACAGATTGGATTTTCACAAGAGAGACACCAACGGTCATATATTTTGCCTTTGTGTCTTTTACACGCCTCTGATATCATAACTCTATTTTTTAACTGGCGTATTACTACATTATGGTACATGGTGTCAAGGCTTATGACATGTTTCTCCTTACAAGGAACACAAAGTCCTCTTTTACATGTGTTGCAGTAGAATTCTATCTTCCCGTGAAATGGATCACAAATTGTTAGCTTTGTCATTGCTGTATTACGCATTTTCATAATGCTCATTTTTGTTTCAGGCTTTGAATAGCTTGGACGAAACTTGAAGATAACAAACACTGATTCTGCTTAACCGTCCATTTACACAATACAAATTATTAGCATGGCAAACTTCGATCTTTAAATCAGAAGTGACTGCAGCTGCCACGCAGATTGAAACATTCCCTACCAACCACTCACACCCGTTGAGTGTTCCTTGACATGATTGGAGAAAAGAACAAATCTGATGAAAATTCAGTCTGAAAATATAGATCTAATGAAACATATGGAGATAACAAACAGTATTTAAGATCAAAAGTTCATAAAGCAATACAAAATAGAAGCAAAGCAAACACGGACTTCCAAAGCATCGGAGGTTGGATCAAGTGCCATGGAGTAGTGAAATTTACAATTTTTTATCTAAGAGGTACCATTATTTGCGATGTCGAAAAGATATGGTTCTAGAGAGAGTATAAAGGAAATCTCCAGTAGATCATATTCAACGTATAAAAGTTATCATACGGTAAATTCTTTTCAAATTTAATTTTGGTTGTTACAGGAAAACAGGAATAGACAGGTCATACTTTGATGCAAATATAACAACAATAAAATTTATATTTAGTTAATGGGGTAGGTTTTTTTAACTCCATATTGAAATGGAAGACATTAGTCAGTATCTGTATTCACCGTGAATTAGTAAAACTGTCCTGGTATCTGAAAAAAATTAAAATCTCAGGACATTGAAAAACAATAAGATGATTTAGTGAATCTAAGCCCCCCGCTTGAGATAAAATAGCATATATATGTGCACTGATCATGTCGATATTTGGGATAGGTGGGGAGGTGGGGACTTTAAAAAGGATATGCGCATGCGATGCTAAAGAGAGTTGTAGACTATGATTACATTGCAAAAACTATAATAAGTTCTTGAGATTTCGCCCGAAATAATATTTTTACGCAGAGACAGAATTGTGAATTTACAACCTTGACCTTTTGACCTCAAATTCAATATGAGTCTTTCTTACACAATTCAGAAGTTGTGGTATAACATTGTACTGCAAAAGTCCAAAGGCTGCTCGAGATATCGCCTGGAAATGAAAGTTTTAGATAAACATAGAATGTTTTACTTTACGACATTGATATTTGAGCTGTTGACCTCAAACTTATTAGGGGTCTACCTTAGTTCATTTGAAGTTGTTTTCATTTTTATTACACAACCTCAAAAGCCTCTAGAGATCTCTCGCGGAAACGAAAGTGTTACAGACAGATAGAAGTATATCTAGGCAGACAGACCAAAATTAATATCCCCAACTTTCAGCAGACAGTTGTTTATGAGGGAGGGGTGGAGGTCAAAAACAGGAGAGCAATTATGAAGTGAGATAGTCTAAATATAGCATGCAGTACGTCCATACATTAATTAGAAAACTTGCCTGATTGCAATAAAAGAAGGTTTTGCAGTTCTTTTGTTATTTTCCCTAAACGTGTAGCAGATTCAAAGAAAAGGTTTTAAGTTGCAGAAACTCATATTAATTTTTTTCAAAATGAATCAATAAAAAGAGCACAGCGAGAAAAAATATTTGGAAGCTAGGTATTGACTTCCAATTTGCTATTAAATGATGCAAAAATTAGTCTCACGGCAAAATATATCAGATTTTCCATTTTTTGAATAGGGAATCCCCATTGTTCTGAAAAAGTGCCTCCTTGAAACAAAATAATTTTGATATATACGCAAAGAGGCAGGAATTTTCTTCAAAACTTTCATTTCCTATTTTTGTTTCAAAGAGGCACATTTTTGAAAAACGCAAAAATTGAATAAAAATTATTCTCCAAACGAAATGCAAAATGTGTACATTAAATAACACTAAAAAACCATCGTCCAAAATGGTCTAGTGGATATGCTGTTTGGTTTCTATCTTTTACTAGAGAATGGGTTCGAATCCTGGTATGGATCATTTTTGCATTTTTTTTTCTTCTTTTTTTTCAACATATAATGGTAGTGCAATGAATTACATAATTTTTTGAAAGGGATAGAATGTCAAGAAATTAATTGAGTAATAAATATATATTAGAAATGCAGTATTAAAGTGTTTTCCTTGATATGCTGTGACTGAAAACTAATACCGGTACTCTATTTAGTTTTGTCTTATTGTTTTGAAAATAAAATTACTATAGTAATTAAATAATTTATACTTTACATACTGTAGTTATTGCAATTTTTGATAATTCTGGTCTCTTGGTTAGTAGCCATGATTTGAATTGAAACAAATTGATTTGTCTTGGATGTAGCGCCAACAGTGTGGTTGTGGGACAGATTTTTTATTTCATGAAAAATATTTTCGCACGATGTCTACAGTTTATCTTTCAAAATGCTTCTTTAGCCATTGTGCTTTTTGTTGTTCCACTTTTTTCATGCAAAATGACGAGTGTTTTGCTGTATCAAGCGGGAAATATCCTTCGTATACATAGTCCTCTACGTAGCTGTATCTATAATTAGACATAACGAGGGTATTTAAATGTCCTTCTCGATATATAGGGAATAATCGCGTGTTTCTGCAACACCTTCTTTAAAAGTATGTCGACGAACATTTATAAAAGCGACTTGATTTAAATCCCCTACTTCATTAACTAAATATAAATTTGATTTTCGCTTTATTTTCATCAAAGAATAACCTATTTATTCATGTTTTCCTGTAACAACCAAATTTAAATTTTATAAGAATGTATTTTTTATAGGGTTGACATGATGTACTGGGGATTTCCTCTATACTATCTCTAGAACCATATCTTCCCTACATAGCTGAATCTGCACCTATACGACAACAAAATGTTAGTAGACGTCAGTACGTGAAAAAATCGGCGAATAATGGGTACCCATCAGATAAAAATATGCAAATTTAAACCATTAATTTTTTTTATATTTATCCATTTGAAATTAAAAGAGAGAAAAGCAAAATGGATTATAAAAAATTAAGGCAGGAATTTTGATAAACATTATTTTCATACGGGAATATTCTGTGGACGTATTAACTATTGGTAAATAGAAATACGAACCTTGAACAGAAAACTTCACTTTTCAATTCTGCCCAAAAGTCCACTGGTATGCAATTCAATTCCGCAATAAAATGTTTCTCCCTGCAACATAAGACAATTTTGATTTTTATAGACGCACTTTCTAAAGAAAGTTCGGGTATATTGTTGTTACTCATGTCCGTCCGTCCGTCCGTCCGTCTGTCACACTTTTCTTCTTTGAACTCCTCCTACATTTTTCACAGTAGCTTAATCATCCTTTGGTAGATGGTTGGGGGTGTCATGTAGATGTGCAGTAAGGTTTCGGAATTTTGATTTTGCCCCGGGGGATCAAATGGGGGTCGAAAAATGACGTTTTTTATGCAAAAAGCCCCTTCTTCCCTGAACTCCTCCTACATTTTTCACAGTAGCTTAATCATCCTTTGGGAGATGGTTGGGGTGTCATGTAGATGTGCAGTAAGGTTTTGGAATTTTGATTTTGCCCCGGGGGATCAAATGGGGGTCGAAAAATGACGTTTTTTATGCTAAAAGCCCCATCTTCCCTGAACTCCTTCTACATTTTTCTCAGCAGCCTAATCATCTTTTGCGAGATGGTTGGTGGTGTCATGTAGATGTGCAGTAAGGTTTCGGAATTTTGATTTTGCCCCGGGGGATCAAATGGGGGTCGAAAAATGACGTTTTTTATGCAAAAAGCCCCATCTTCCCTGAACTCCTTCTACATTTTACTCAGCAGCCTAATCATCTTTTGGGAAATGGTTGGGGGTGTCATGTATATGTGCAGTAAGGTTTCGGAATTTTGATTTTGCCCCAGGGGATCAAATGGGGGTCGAAAAATGACGTTTTTTATGCTAAAAGCCCCATCTTCCCTGAACTCCTACATTTTTCTCAGCAGCCTAATCATCTATTGGGAGATGGTTGGTGGTGTCATGTAGATGTGCAGTAAGGTTTCGGAATTTTGATTTTGCCCCAGGGGATCAAATGAGGGTCGAAAAATGACGTTTTTTATGCTAAAAGCCCCATCTTCCCTGAACTCCTTCTACATTTTTCTCAGCAGCCTAATCATCTATTGGGAGATGGTTGGTGGTGTCATGTAGATGTGCAGTAAGGTTTGGAATTTTGATTTTGCCCCGGGGGGTCAAATGAGGGTAAAAAATTGATGTTTTTTATGCAAAAAGTCCCGTCTTCCCTAAAC